TTTCAGTTTTATTTGTTATTGTTTGTTTGTGTTTTTTGTAATTCTTTTTTCTCTTTGTACATACAATCAGTACAGACCATTGTCTCATTTGTATGCATATATTTTGCTTTCCACTTCTAAATGACAAACATTGCTTTTTCAGAATTTTCTGTTTTATTACTTTACTTTACGTAATGTGTATTCTGCGTTTGTGTGGGCACTTGATGTTCCATAACTGAAATGTAAAAAAAAAAGTAATGTGAGTTTGCTGCCGGGACCACAGTGCGTGCAAAGGAAGGCGATGTTGTCCTGCACCTTCAGTATATAAATGCGCTGTACCTGTCCTTATGTAAGCTTTGGGTTGGCAGCAGGTATTCACATTGAAGCGTCTGTCTGTCAGAGCGGCTCCTCCACAGCTGACATCACAGTCCATCTATTTTTCATAGCCAACATCTGCTTGGCTTGCTACATTGTCACTATGATTTGCATCAGTTCCCCAGATTCCATGTATAAAACCCACACATGGAGGCTGACTGGAGTCGTGTGCAAAGGCTTCAGTCGGGGATTACTCTGCAGGGTTTGATGTAGAGATGAGATAATTTTATCTGCATACAAACAGACAAAAATAAATTAAAAGTTAGCTGCTGAAAGTTGGCAACGAGAAAAACTGCTAGTACGAACCCAGCAGCCGTTTAAACATGGTGATTTGTTTACGCAACAATCAAATAATAATAATATCCTTCTGTAATTATTAGCACGACGTGAGCATCTAAAAAGTGTTTTGTCAATGAAAATATGGAATCAATTCTGTCAGCATGAAAAGCAATTTCCTTTCCCCTCGGTGTCGTTATGAAAACAAATGCATTCATTTCTCCAGCAGAAAGGCAGCTGATGCAAAACATTATCCCCAAAAAATGACTTACTGACGAGGTGTGTGTGTGTGTGTGTGTGTGTGTGTGTGTGTGTGTGTGTGTGTGTGTGTGTGTGTGTGTGTGTGTGTGTGTGTGTGTGTGTGTGTGTGTGTGTGTGTGTGTGTGTGTGTGTGTGTGTGTGTGTGTGTGTGTGTGTGTGTGTGTGTGTGTGTGTGTGTGTGTGGGGCATGTATAGAAGTGCTGATTTAATATTTCCAGGTCTACATGGATTTTTCCAATCTCGCAATAATAGAAAACATGTTTTTTTGCCACTTATGTCTCGGTAAGGAGTGGTTGCTTCCACTGTTGCTCAAGATGAGCTTTCAGACGGTCCATTTGCTGCTTACATTTAGCTTTTTTGTTCCTTTTTTAAAGAAAGAAAGAAAGAAAGAAAAGGATGAAGAGAGTGTTTTAAGTGGAACCATCTTTTGTGCAAAGCAACTCGAAGCCTTCATGCCCTTGACATCGAGCATTTGCACATGTCGCGTTCTCTCTGCCTGTTATACTGCAGGAGCCCAAATGTAAAAGATACTAAAGTATACAGAAAAAAAGGAAGCATTTCAGATAACTTCTCCAGAGGAGGCAGGAATGACATGTGGAGGATTGTGTGTGTGTGTGTGTGTGTGTGTGAGCTGCAGCTAGGTGCGTGTTAGCTAGCCCTAAATAAAAGATGAACCTGCATGTCCCAGCCCTGTTATGAGAGCATCAGGCAGAGGATGTGGGTGTGGGGGGGGTGGTGGGTTGTGTAAAGAGGCATAAAGGTAGGCGAGCGATGTGTGGAGCAAGACACCAAGAGGTGGCTTTTTTTAAAGGTCACCTAATATGCAAAATCCACTTGTTCATGTCTCTTCTACATCAACATGTGTCCCCTCTTCTTCATGTCTCTTCTACATCAACATGTGTCCCCTCTTCTTCATGTCTCTTCTACATCAACATGTGTCCCCTCTTCTTCATGTCTCTTCTACATCAACATGTGTCCCCTCTTCTTCATGTCTCCTCTACATCAACATGTGTCCCCTCTTCTTCATGTCTCTTCTACATCAACATGTGTCCCCTCTTCTTCATGTCTCCTCTACATCAACATGTGTCCCCTCTTCTTCATGTCTCTTCTACATCAACATGTGTCCCCTCTGTGGAAAGAGACTCTGAAAGTTTCAGGAACAAAGATTCTCTCTCTTTTTGTCCTGATCCATTTCTATAAAAACCGGTCTGAAAATGAGCTCATCAGATTTTGGCCACTTTATGATGTCATAACGATGTTTTGTCTTGTGTAACCGTTAACCAATCACCAACCAAGGTAACCCCCCCCCCCCCCCTTATCACCTGAATCTCCTCCTAGAGCACCATTGTGTTCTTTTTAACCAAATCTCTCTCAGAGGGGCGTGGGGAGGGGCTCCTTATTTTCATCTAAAGTAACAGACAGAGAATCAGCACTTTGGAAACAGGGCTGAAACAGAGGGGATTATGGGATGCTGCAATGATCTAGTTGGTGTTTCAGCCAATCAGAGACAGGTTCTGGATATATCTGAGACCTATAATATATTGATGAAAAAGAGTGTAATAGGGGACCTTTAAGTCGGTCAGGGTGACAGACGCCTGCTCTCACCTGTCCGTCACTCTGTATGTCCCGCCCCTCATGTGTTCACAGCTCATCAGAAAACACTCACAGGTCTGGCAGGTTGCAAACACTGATACTGTGCGATGTGAGCAAATACCAACTATGTGCAATATGTGCAATATATATATATGCCGTTAATAACTGCAATATATACCTGGCTGCTATATCTTCAGAACTGTTACAAGATGTGTATTTTGTAAATTGTGTAATTTGTAATGTTTTGTTATGCATGCTTCTTAGGTAACATTAAGCTGTCTTTGGCTCTTTTCTGCTGTAGCAATGCAAATGTCCCGTCTGTGGGACTAATACAGGTATTCTGATCTGATTCTGATGACTGACCGGGTGTATCTGACTGTGTTTAAAACAGTAATGCTATCACAAACAGTACGATATCATGTGAAATGTATGTTTGATTCAGTGAACGCGGTGGCAGAATACTTCAAAACTAGGCAAGATTAAATATTGAAACTCTTATCCAAGTATCTATATTTAAGGTTTTCAGAAAGTTAATTTATTTAACATTTTAAACTTTGTCTCTTACTCTTCACACTGCATAATACAGTAGGAATGCCTTCATATTTTCATCAATATTAATAATGTCTCGCTACAGACTAAACTAACTATCCTCGAGACATACTGAAGATTCCAGCTGAACAAAAAAAAATACTCTTTCATTCCTCAATCTCGCCTCTCTCAGATATAAACGTGTAACTATTGAAGCAAAAGTGAATCTTTATGACATCAGAATATTTATGAAAGACAGAATAGCTGCAAAAGATAATAATTTTTCAGTCAACTATCAACATTCTTTGCTAACTATTTAAAAATCAATAAATTGGTTTGAGTAATTATTTAAATTCGAAATTGTCTGTTTCAAAATGCTTCTTCAATGGGAATATGGTATAGTTGCTTTGCTCTTCTTTGACATAGCTAAGGTATCTAGCTATATCATATAACCTACATATCATTCATTTAAATTGTTGACATGACAAGACGTTTAATGACCTCATCTTAGACTTTGGAAAACACTAATTTATGTTTACTTTTACGTTAACTAATTGATAATGTTTTGGGCAACCGGTGCATTTAGTTAAGTGACAGTGTAGATCAGGGGTGTCAAACTCAATTTCATCACGGGCCACATTCGCATCATGGTTGCACTCAAAGGGCCGGTTGTAACTTTAAGACTATATAAAAATACATATATAAATATTTAATAAATATAAAATAATGTGTTATATTACATTATTGGCTCTGCATTGGATTATTATCAGATAGGGTAATAACTTCATAATTAACTACGTCTGAAAGCTGAAGTCTAGGGCAAATAATTGCAAGTCTCTTCAGTGAGAATGTCACAAAATGATTTAAAAAGAAAAGCCACATTCTGAAAAAAAATTCCCAAAAAGAAAAAAGTGACATTTTGAAAAAAAGAAAAGTCAAATTCTGAGAAAAAAGTCAAATTTGAGATGCATTGTGGGACATGTAGTTTATGGGCAACGTGCCTCTGTAAAGTAGCATGTAACCGTATAATAAACATATCATATTTTTTGCAAGCTCTTGTGGGGCCGCATCAAATGAAGTCGCGGGCCGGATTTGGCCCCCGGGCCTTGAGTTTGACACCCCTGGTGTAGATGGAGGGAGACAGAGGTGACTACAAGCAGTACATTGTCAAAATGTACTGATATTTTATAGACCTAAAAACCTAATCAAGACAAAAATAAACTGATGAATCTACATGATACTAATCGATAGTTGCAGACTTGTATAAATGCCCCCAAAAAATGTCTTCTCTTTACCCAGCATGCCTCTCTTTACCCCTCCTGCTTCCTAACCTGGCTCTTAATGATTTGGATGACTGTTAGAGAGGATAAAAAGCCTCTTGGCGTTCCTCCACTAGAAGAGGGGCTCGTGCTTTGTTAGCCTAAAAGTTTGCACGGGAAAATTGCACCCATGGGAGAGCGGAGCAGGAATACACCACGGAGCAGACGGGGGTAGGGTAGGAGTTATTTTTAACTTTTTTGTTGCGTTGATGCTAAGTCATCAGAGAGTCCTTGTAGTGCAGAGCAGAGAAGAACCCTAAATGCTTTCAGAAGTGAGCGAACAAACATTTCTCTTGCTTTCCACATTCAGGTTTTTTAAACTCCCTCCAAATATCTGCTGCTTGAGGAGAGAGAACCTGCTGATGGTGATGATGATAGCATGTGGTATCTAAGTGTTATTTTTGTACATAGTGTCCTCCATTATCCCGGTGTATCAGACTCTCAGGCTCCATTTTGTGGCCCATTACTGAGGAAGAGGAAGATGGTTCTAGAGAGGAGTGCTTCAAAGAACAGAAGGCTGGGCAAGTGGCCATTTCTGCTTTAAAATCATCATCTCTGTTGGCCTTTTGGTTGTCCTTAATCTATTACAGGAATTTGGTGATGATGTTTTCGTGTTTATCCGTGCATGTGTGTGTGTGCGTGTGTGTGTGAGTGTGTGTTTTGCCTTGCCTGCTATCGGGGAAAGGCTCGGTGATCCACGCTGCCTGCCAGCCTGGTGCTCTTTAATGAGATTATCAGGAGAAGAGTGTCAGTAAGTAGTCTCTAAAATGAAAGCCATTATGGAGCATTATCACAGAGCCGCACCCCCCCCCCCCACCCCCTCCCCCGATCCATCTGCTGTATGGCCGCACACACACACACACACACACACACACACACACACACACACACACACACACACACACACACACACACACACACACACACACACACACACACACACACACACACACACACACACACACACACACACACACACACACACACACACACACACACACACACACACTCCGCCCAGATTACAGCCATGATTAGCGCCGCGAAGTGCTGCTTAATTTAAAACACCTCTGGAGAACATGTGGCGCTTTGCTGACTCACAGCGCTTGAACACACATGGCGATGATATGGATTACTTTACTGTAGAAGACAATACGTGGGCTGTGTGTTTGTGTACACTTGTGTGAAGTTTTAATGTCATATTTAATTCTAAGGATGTGTGTCTACATTCAATTAATCACACAGCGACGTGTTGTATCTACACCTTTTGATCTCTTGTCAAAAGACTCGTAAGCTGTCTGTTTCATCACTATAACTACTTTATTATTCTTACATATCTACCGTTATTTGACTATGAATGCAAATATGATAATCAAGATTGTGACAGGTGAAAAAAATAACTAAAAATTCAAGTTTGGCTTCCAGATAAAAGCGCTTAAAAATGTCGTGTCTCAGAAAGAGTGGGAATTTACATGAATGCATACAGTATAGCAACTGGAGGGGATTTGAGACTTTGCAGACCATTTACATGCACACAAACCTATACAACACAAATGCATAATAGGACTCATGTAACATATGAAATATCAACTATTCTAAAACATGTATTTGTTGAATATTATACTTCAGAAGCAGGATGTTGCAGTGAATTGTTAGACCTTAATGTGCCAGATCAGGCCAGTTAAAATAGTAGTATAGAAAGCAATCTGATCCATTTCCTCTGTCCTTAGGATGCCTTTGTTGACTTGCAAAGCATATTCATATTTTCTCATTTCTCTCTACTTGTGAGCGTCACAGTGAAGTCCTTTTGATTTTCATGTTGTTTTGTGAAACACATGATTCATTATAGGCTTAAAAAAAATCCTTTTAAAGTGTCTTCTACCTTTTCAAAACCTATTGGATGCACCTGAACTGATGTGAAAGCTAAGCAGATTATTTCCTTTAGTTCACGAGGAGTAGATATATTTAGATCAGGGGTGTCCAAACTACGGATCGGGGGCCAAATGCGGACCGTGGAACATTTTGAATCGGCCCTCAGCAAATTAAAAAAGTATAATGACTTAAGTATAATAAACTTCTGCTTGTCTTATATTGTACTTCTTAAATATATATGTTCAAATATATTACACAGTAGTATTCATGTTTTAATAAGCCCAATTTTCAAATGAATTCAGTCAATTAAAGTTGGAAACAGGTTCTAACAAATCTAAGTTGATAAGAAAAAAGCCCAATAACTTATTTTCATAACAACCTTGAAACAAACCCTTCATATTTCCTCTTATTATAATCAATCTGAGGCTTCTGTTTTAAGGAATGAGCTGCTAACGAAATAAATGAAACCCTCTGGAGAGCTGTGAGCTGTTTTTTGCTTACAGCATTTTCAAGTATCAAGAATAATTGACCTACATTGGATTGATTTTTCCAACTTCTAACTGAACTTATGAGGCGATATACCTCTAGTGAGTGGCCCAGCCCTTCGTATATTTTTCTGTATGTGGCCCTCGGTGAAAAAAGTTTGGACACCCCTGATTTAGACAAACACAAGCAGCAGTCTCTCCGCTGTGTACCTGTGATCTTGTCGCGGACCAGCTTGCAGGACTCGATCTCTCCGATGCTGCCGAACAGGCTGCGAAACTCCTCCTGGGTCATGTTCTGCGGCAGGTAGTTGACAATGAGGTTGGTCTTGCTGTCGTCGTTTGATTGGCCGGTCTGCATGGGCGAGGGGCAGCCGCGGCTGTTGGTGGTCGGCCCGTTGGACGTGTTGCCCCCCCCACTGGGGCCGTTTGTCACCGGAGCCTCCATGTTACTGATGATCTGAGGAGGAAACAGGGAGGGGGGGGGAACAGGAAGGGCAGGGAGGAAGAAGGGAAGAGATAGCACTCATTAGCAAAAGAAAGGCAAGTTTATTGATATAGCACCTTTCAACACAAGGCAATTCAAAGTGATTTACAAAAATGAAAGCCATTAAGAAACACATTATAAAATGGCATTTAAAAAGACTCATTTAAAAGCAAAGACAATAAAACATGAATGACAAAGGTACATGAATTAAAGTGAGATACACACATCTGAAATGTAAGTGTTTCATGCTAAACGAACCCCCCTTTGAAAAATTCTAATCTGACCCCATGGTACCTTTTTAGTTTTCGCCGAAACTATTCCTCTTTTTTAAATGCACATTAGTTAAGTTTAAGTTGTCTTTCTAGGACAAGGCAAAGGCAAATAAAGCACACTGAATATGTAGCAAGGCATGCAAGAATCTGAGTGATTTATGTTGCATTAATCAACAGTCTGGGTGAGAAAGGGGCTTTTAAAGGTCTAGTCCCAGACATTGTAAAGGTTTGAATACAATACAGTGCATTCATGTTTTTAAATTGCAATACAATATTTATTTATTCTACCTTACAGGGTTTCAAATGTAATAGCGTTATTATAGAACAATAGATTTTACAATAATTCTCTCAGTTTGGAATACATAGCGGTATACAAGTGCTCTGTCACAAGTAAAAGTCCTGCACTCAAAATGTTACTAATAAAAGTACAAAAGCATGAAAATATACTTAAAGTACCAAAAGTAAAAGTATTTTTTATGCTGTAGGCTCATTTCAGAATTGTATATATTTAATTACTGGATTATATTTATCAGGGTATAAGCAGGAATCCTGAAGTCAAATGTAATCCCTTTTAAGACCTTTTTTTAAGACCCTTTCCATACATTTTAAGACCTCATCGCCACTTTGAGTTTTAACCGGTTACCTTGGCGACACACTTTACCTCACATTGACTATATACAGTATTGATTGTCTTTCCTCCTTATCTTCCAACCATTTGGACGCAGACTTGCATTTCCCCATAACGATGTTGTTTAAAGGGGACCTATCATGCAAAATGCACTTTTGTACGTCTTTTATACATGAATATGTGTCCCCGGTGTTCCAGGGAACTCACCAAGTGTCAGAAAACACAACCCTCTCTATTTTCCTCCATACCCAAATCTCTAAAAAAGGGGCTGCAACGGATCTGATAAAAACTGATCCAGATTTGAACACTGTCCTGACGTCAGGACGGTGGCGCTACGGCTATTGGGCCAACTCCACCAATCAGGAGGAGACAGCCACGGCCATTGCCGTTCGAAAGCGCTGGAAACGCTGTAGTACATATGCCAGGCCTGTAGGTGGTGCTGTTGCTCACAGAATCAGCCCTTGCAAAAACAGAGCTAACATTTTTCAAATTGAGCGAAATGAGGCATGGCTAAAATGCATGATCTGTTTGGTATTTTGAAAAAAAAAAAGTATAAATATGCCTTATATAGGTATGGTCCTACACTATATTATTCAAATATAGCATGATAGGTCCACTTTAACAACCGGCGTAAACGGACCTTCGCGCGCTATCAAGCAGTGAGCGTGCGATGTCCTGTTCAGATGACGTCAAATCCAACGGGATGCCATAAATAAACTACACAGAATCACACTACACACCTACGCAATGATTACATTCAGGCAGACTGTAGAATACAACCTCTTTGGACCATTTATATACTTATTGAAAACAAGCTACAAAATGTAATACCTTGGAAAATGCAGTTTAATACTTTTTAAGACCCCTCGGACACCCTGATTTATACATATGCATTTTTAGGTTAATATTATACTATATTGTAAATTATATACATTTGTCAACCAACAATATTTAAAAAATGTTTCTGTTATTGTTGGCAGAGTTACAAATTGGTGAGAAATAGTGTTTTATAACAATATTGGATTTACAGGATTTTGCATTAGTGATTCAGTACCTGACTCAATAAAAACACGTACTTTGAATTGCTAAAAAGTAGTATTTGGGAATGACAATGTGTTCAGTCTTAATTTTGTGAGTAGTAGTTCTGTCACCACATGATCAAACATCTAATATCTAACACACACATATCTAAACACTAACATGAAATCACAAACTAAACATTAACACGATGTACACAGAACATGCCACATGTCTAAAACATTGATAGAAACGACAACCACTACACAGAGAGGATAAACATCTAAATATGTATGAAGACAGTAAGAGGCATGTCTAAATGTTCCTCTGAACGCAGCTGAGGATTGTGGGAGGGGCAACACACGACTGACTGCTGATTCTGATTCTGTGACAGAGACACGTGTGCGTTTTCTTATCAGGTTCTGCAGAGCAGCTCAGGATCAAAGTGTTCAGAAACACCAACTGTGAGCTGGGTGCGAGGAAACAGCAAAGGGGGAGTGAGAGTGAAAAGTCGGGGGGGAGGAGGAGGAGGAGGGAGGGTGCACTTTCCACCAGAGCACTCCGATACATATTTAATACAAATGCTTATTCTGAACTAGCCTTATTCTTGAACAAAAGCAGCGTGTGAGGGGGAATTATTCATACATTTGCATAGAAACATTTGTTTGATCGAATTAATGGCTTGTGTGATTGTGTGTGTGTTGAGCGGATTTACATTTTGTATAAATTGTGGGAAGATAAGACAAAAAGAGTGAGCCATTCTGTCATGATTCATGCTTAACTCGGGCAGCTAACTGTTAACCAAATAACTATTAAAGGGGCCCTATTGTGCTCATTTTCAGGTTCCTATTTGTACTGTGACATGTCTCCGTGCTTTAATGTTCAAAAAGCTCTTTATTGTTCTCATACTGCCTGTGCTGCAGCACCTCTTTTCACCCTCTGTCTGAAACCAGAGCCCAGTCTGCTCTGATTGGTTAGCCGGCCGTGATTTATAGAGGCGAAGTCCCGCCCATCTACTTCCGCCCCATGGGACCTTATTTCGGAAAAAGTATGTATTGAAGTCAATGGGGAGAGAAAACGTATCTTTCTATCCCGTTTGAATTGTGCCATGAATTACACGTATGATGTTTGTCAATCTTAATTAATAATTTCCGTGTCAAAAAAGTCACAGTTTGTCGTAAAACTGTTGAAATATAAGACTATGAAAAATACGCAACTAGAAAGACTACAAATCCCAGAATCCCGGTCCCGCATGCTGGCTCTTACGAACCGACTAACTCTCCTTGTGTGTATGTACAGCTCTCAACATGCCCAGACTTGGAGTGATTTTCACCTCTTTTAATACTTTCCGCCTCATTCTGAAAGAAAGAAGTGAAATGTTCCAACGTGACGGCCGTCTTGGTGTGTGGTGCGAGACGGGAGATGTAGTTCATTGAGAGGTTTCACACAAAAAAAGTGTTACTTCACAGTTTTACGACACATTTTAATTTTTTTGACTTGCAAAATGATCTTTTAAATTGACAAACATCATATGTGTAATTCGTGGCACAATTCAAACGGGATCGAAAGATAATCTTTCTCTCTCCATTGACTTCAATACATACTTTTTCCAAAATAAGGCCCCATGGAGGTCCCCCCGGAAAGGGAGGGACTTCGCCTCTCTATGGAGATGTCCCGCCCCTTAGCCTATCAATGTGTTGGAGCGCTAGCCAATAGAAGGGTGAGTCTTACATAGTGATGTTACTATGTTCCAGAAGTAAACAAAGGAATCTAATTAGCCTTTACAGACCATTTACATGCACACAATAACACACTACAGGAGAGGGGAAAGCCCCCAAAGCATAATAGGGCCTCTTTAACTCTGTGTATCATCTTAGTTATTATCTTTCTTATTCTGTCCCAGTGTCCCTTTTCACTGTCAATATATTCTGTGCTCCCAGTATGTCAATGCCTAAAAAAAGCCCCGTCCATTTAAACACAAACATACATAATGCTACACATTCCCTGTGACCAACTGTTCTGAAACCCAAATAAAGATTGAAGTAATAATGAATCCAATTCAATGAAACAGTAAAGTCATAACTAAAATCTCTCCCTTCCCCCTGTTCAACCATTCAGCGCTCGGTCTATATTTATCCGTTCTTCAGAACACGCACACAGAGCTGGAAGCAGGGCTGGTTTTAGCAGAAACAGAACACGTAGTTTGCTCTATTTCTGGATGATCAAAAGGCTGGACCTGTGTTCTAATAATATATCTCAAAGCGTAATTTAAAAAAATTGTCCAGAAATAGTTTTCAAAAACCATTTGAGACATTTACACGGCATGTTTTTCTTGGCTTTAATCATTTTACTTGTATCAATTCTGCGTGTAGTGAGCAGGGATGATGGTAAATCAATAACAGGCATGCAAATAACTCTTTAGTTACCAAACAAATACAATATAATTATTCTCAATATCAATTTCCTATGTTCAATAGAATAAGAATGTCACCAATTACAGTAAACAGTATGTCATTAATTGCAATGAAAATATCAAGATTTCTCAGAAAGCCTGTAGTCTTTATTACTCTAACTGTAAATACCTGTACCAATAGCAATGTTATAACAATTGCATAAAGGGGCTCAAAACATCCATTTATCTCTGGTTCTAGGAAGACCTTTAAAAAAAGGCTATATTTCTCTATTGTTCATCTCTCCCTCCATCTCGTCGCCGCAAAAAATGTCAGTCTTTAATCTGCTTCACACACACACACACACACACACACACACACACACACACACACACACACAACACACACACACACACACACACACACACACACACACACACACACACACACACACACACACACACACACACACACACACACACACACACACACACACACACACACACACACACACACACACACACACACACACACACACACACGCTTGCATACGCGCAGAGAGAACAATGGGTCCAAGCCCACAGCAGAAAACAAACCGACAGGGAGATGTCTAAAAGCTCTCAAGATGAGAGCTGCATGCAAATTGTTCTTTTGACAGTATCCCTTCCTCCTCACTCACCACTCCACCACAACAGAGACACAGAGACCGACCGAGGAAGACAGACACACAGAGAGAGAGCTAGCAGAGAATAGTATCTAGCCATAACAGAGTTGATTGGAGAGGGCCTTATTAAATCTGTTTACATTCCCCGCTGTGTTCCATTCTGTCAGAGAGACTTTCAACTCCATGGGACGTTTTCTGAGGAGTTTTTCCACCAAAATGGCTGCTTCTAATTAACAGCGACCTGCCGAGTCCCACTGGCCAATTATATCCCTCTCTCCCCGGCCCTGCCCAACAGCATTTGTGCCGCTCAGCAGTCCACTTGATGTTGGTTGTGAACACGGTGGCCCCCCCCCCCCCCCGCTGTGCAGCCTAGTGCTGTGGACAGGAGCTCATGTCCTGCTGACTGAGGACATCTCAGCCCTCGCTCCACCTCTCAGACTCAAGATGCAGTGCAGCGTTCTCACAAGTTGTAATTCCTCACATGTAGGAGAGGCTTCTGGATATACGAGAAGTGCACGTGTGAGGCGGTGTGCATCATACGAATGTGCAGAGAGAGAGACAGGTGGAATTTCAAAGGTGTATGATTGTAAGTCCAAAGATACCTGATGTTCATAAAACTTAAAGTGAAGCATCTTAAGAATGACATTCGATTTGGGTTGACTGGGCGAGACATTATATATGATTTGTTATATTGAATCCTATATCTTGTGACACACAGTTGAATGTCTTAATTGCAGATGACAAACACATACTGACTCAAACTTATCATAAAATCTGATGTGAAGTATTTTGAGGAAACATCATTAAATGATTGTAGGGCTTTAAAACTGTTTTGTTAAATACAGAAATATGATGTGTTGTGATACTCTTAACTATTCTCACAAACACTGTTGTTATTATTAGCAGTATAAGAATGCAAAGACTAAGGGCAGTTTAGATTACACACAGAGTGTGAGGTTAAAGGGACTAAGAACATTACACAACTTAAATAATGCTTAAGATGTAGTTACAACATGAGTAGGTGGGACTTACTTAACAATCAGCAGCCAATTCATTTTGCATTCATATGTATTCATCACTGTATATATTATGCTATATATTGTAGTATAGTGTGCACATTTGACTGTTTTGACATTTTACTTGAACTTCTTTTGTTAGTTAGTATTTTTTTTTTCCTATTTTCATTTATTTTGTTAAGAAATTGAGCAATTGTTACAAAGAAAAACGATGTAATTTGTGATAAATTAGGTTTTCTGATTCTGACAATGACTGATGATATTTTTAATAGGCTCTGATGCAGGAGAAAAGTGTCGGAAAGGGTTGAATCAAAGTCAGTTATTTCAGTGATCTTCTGCAAGGAAGCAAAGGTCAATCCAAATAGCCCACAGGTTCAGATTTGCATGTGTTAATGAAACGTTCAAAGCACAATTGATTTGCAACAGGCTAAAAGCTAAAACATCAATATGTACGCATAAATTGAAACATAAGCATTTTTTTTTATTGGCTTCCCTGTGTGCACAATGGAAGAAGACGTCAGCAGCTGAATATTTCTTTACCCTCATCTCTCAGAATCATGTGAATCAGTTTATCACCAGGACGGTTGACACGTACGAGGAATTTGACTTGATGTGGTGCACACATGGAGTAAAACACAAATTAAAAAACACAGATAGAGAACTATTTTCAGAAAACTATAAAAAATATAGTCAAATATAGCAGTGTTTACAAAGAGCACCGCTTCCTCCACCCTTACCACCCTCCATCAATCTCTGCCGCACCTCCACTCTCTCAGTCAGCAGCATCACAGAGTATGTATGTAAACACAGGACAATATCAGATCACATGACTTCATGAGAAATGGCAGCAGCGTGGTCTCCTTACCATCTTTGGCTGCGTCAGCAATCCCTTCTCTGCCCAGCCCTGGAGCTGTGGGAGCTCTGCCTGACGCCACTGTGTCTCTGTCGACCCCTAGGAGCACAGAGGGGGGGGGGAGGGGGGGCACCGTCAGCATCACACACTCACTTTACAACGTTAGGGGTGCACTGGGATTTGGGGAGCAGAGGAAGGAGGGGCGGGGGGGGGGGTGTTGGGAAGAAATGGCGACTCACTATAGAGGGATACAGCTAAACGTTAACAGTTATTCCACCAGTCGAGTTCAATATAAGACTTTTTACAATCTATTAATGTGGTTAATTTCTGCTACCTCAATACTTTTATATGTATTTTATAATACAGCTAAACCCTAACAGTCCTTCCACCAGTAGGGTTTGATTTAAGAGACAGGATTTGTGCTTTTTTTGGTGTCTTTTGCACTGGGATTTGGGGAGCAGAGGAAGGAGGGGGGGTGATGGGGTGATGAGGAGAAATGGTGACTCACTAGAGGAATACGAAAACAACTATTTATATAATATATCATATTCCAATAACTTGTATATAGACTACTCTTGCACTATTGTATCTGTGTTATTGTGTTACACTGTAGCTCTGGACACATGACCATAAAACCCTTAATCTTGAATGAGTCTAAACCCTAACAGTCCGTCCACTAGTCGAGATTAATATAAGACTCAGGATTTGTGCTTTTTTGGTGTCTTTTTACAATCTATTAATGTGGTTAATAACTAAGTTTATATGTTCATGCAGTATTTTATCATTTGTTACCATGGATGTGTACAGTACTTGATGGATGAGTATATTGTGTGCTTGCCTCTTCACTCTATTTTAAATGTTATTCTACTATTATACTCTTATTTGTGACATGTTTGCACTGCTTCTTTTTGCTGTAACATTGTACGTTTCCCCGCTGTGGGATAAGGATGGGTTTCAGATTATGATTATGATTGTAATAAGTGAGATATCTTTAAAGGGAGACCTTATTACGCAACATTGTTTTAATAAAATGTCTTTATTAGGGCTGCACAATTAACTCAAATTGTATCTCAATGCAATATATAATTCTTAGAAGAGAAACCTCACCTACAATAACAAATAAATACACATAGAAAATATCTTGTTTGGTATCGATCCTGTTTCAAATATAACACCTTCATTTGTTTAAATAAATTGAGTAATGTGAGCTATGTGTCAAAAATGATGATTCAATCTAATATCTCAAATTACAACCCAATTATCGATAATAATCCTATTGAGTTATTCTTTCCAGATTGTGTGGCCTCGTTCTTCATGCCGATAATGAAATAGCTAAAATAGAAAAAAGCGTAAAAATCGTATTTCTTCAGTTGTTTTCAGGCTTGTTTATAATTTCATTGGATTGAATAAAATGTGTTGAAGCTGGTATATTGTTGTGGCATCTGCGATGACCTTGGTAGAGTTTTATAATGAGGGTTTCCCTGTTGCTCTCTGTGGGTAAACAAGCCTGTGGTTGAAGAGACAGCAACGCCACAAATGAGCAGGAAGCCTGTGCGCTGGCTTCAGAGCAGGGGGCTTAATGCCTGCAGCGATATACCGAGGCTACAAGCAGCCAATTTAGCAGGAGAGGAGAAAGAGAGGAGGGATGACCTCTGCCTTCATTTACTCCTTCAGAGAGATGAGGAGAGGGAGTGAGGGATCAGATGGGAGGGGGAAGTAAAGGCAAGGGCTGAGTAATGGGGAAGACACTTCCAATACTTCAAAGAAAGAGGGAGACAGAGGTGGGGCCGGAGAGACTCTGTACATGTTCTGTTGTCAATGTGTCTTGTAAACTTGAGCAGGAATGCATAATGGAGGTCTAAATGAGAGTGAACTGTCAGCTTGAAAGGGAGAAAGAAGATTCAGAGGGGCAGGGGGGTCAGGGAAGAGAAGAGGACAGGGTATATTATCTCTACAAACTGACAGCTGATGGGGAATATTGGGATATTTTGGGAGTGATCGTTTGGAAATATCGAGTTCAGCCACCGTTTGTTTTAGTGTTGTGACGGCAGAAAGGGTTGCAGTTGATTAATGGTTTTTTCTACTTGCTTAATCTGACTGGGATAAATTGAGTAGAAGCATTAGGTTGTTTTAATGTATCGAGGTTTTAGCTGTGTGAGGTCAACATGATGCATTTGTGCCAAAGCTATGGGGTGTGTCTATACTTTTTGAAATAGAGCAGACAGTGGCAGGGATAGTTACACCTCTGGAGCTAATATCAATTCCCCGCTGGGAAATGTTGAGTCTGTAACTGGTACTTGGAGCGCATCCCAGTGCTAATATAGCAAGCGCTAAGTAGGTCTTGAAAGCAGTGGCTGTATTGTTGCTTTTTGGGGCTTTTATTTTGAAAAACAAGCCTAATCATGAGCTCTGTGTAAGGTTTAAGATACTTCCAGGGGCTTTTATTTTGAGAAACAAGACAAATCCTGAGTTCCTGTAAAGATGTTTATACCTTTGGGGCTTTTATTTTGAAAAACTAGCTTATTCTTAGAATCCTTTTTGGATTTACACACATTCTGGGGCTTTTATTTAGAAAAACAAGCCTAATCAGGAGCTCTGTGTGAGGATTAATATGCTTTGAAGGGCTTATATTTGGAGAAACAAGACAAATCCTGAGCTTTCTGTTAAGATTTTTTATACTTTCTGGGATTTTATTATGAAAACTAGTTTTATTCTTAGAATCCTTGTTGGATTTACATACATTCTGGGGCTTTTATTTTGAAAAACCAGGCTTATCCTGAGCTTTCTGCTGAGATTTAGATACAGTTGATTCAGGGGACCAACATGTTTTGAATGGAGAGGAAAGAGGACAACATACTGCATTGCTGGATTGTATATGTAAAGTTTTAAAGCTACCCTGAAAAAAGGAAACGTTAGGCAGAGGTTTCAAACATCAAAAGCATTTCTCCACCCATTCTGCAAAGCCGTCATTTTATCAGCCGTTTGAAGGGAATGGTGCGCCGCAGCAAGCAGACAGAGCAGTGTAATCGTAGCGTGCACAAATGTGGTGATAAAAATGTTAGAAGCAGCAAGCAGATGCATATGAGTCTCCATTTCAACAGCCAACACGCAGTGCAAGGGAGCATCATGTCGGAGAAGAGGAATATTACATTTCTCAGAAGTGCGTTAAAGTCTCTGTGTTCAATATTCAATGCTCAACCATTCGAAAACAAACAGTCGCAGGCGTAACTCACACACACACACGCACACACACACCACACACACACCAAGTCCATCTGTCGGCAGCTCGCTGGTCCTGGGGGGTAGCACTTGAACACACACACGAACACACACACACACACACACACACACACACACACACACACACACACACACCACACACACACACCACACACACACACACACACACACACACACACACACACACACACACACACACCACACCACACAACACACACCACACACACACACACACACACACACACACACACACACACACACACACACACACACACACACACACACACACACACACACACACACACACACACACACACACACACACACACACACACACACACACACACACACCCCCAGTTGCGTGTTCTGATAAAATCTCAAATAACACTGAAGTAAGGGCGCAATGCAATTACATTCACCAACCATTGAGATGAAAAACCGCTCATGGATACTTTTTCAATTATTCAGGGAATACATTTCAGTCGGTGCTCAGATGCTGGGAAAACGTATTATATAATCAATACACTCTATAACGCCATTAATATTTGATGCCACAAAAGTGCTTCCTGTCTCCTTGGGCTCCCGGCCAATGGCGTCTGGGTATTTCAGTCAAATAGGACGAGCCTTATCCGCCTACAGCAAGGAAGGGGAGTAAACATTTGTTTTCCTCTAACAGTCAAAAGTACCAAAGGCACAGGCAGATTTCTATTAGATTTACTGTGAAAACTCACATTTTTACAATTTTCTTTCACCCTGTGCACAAAGACAATTCCTGTCTCTGTCACTTTTGGTAACAGCTATAATTGAAGGAGTGTTCTCGAACCTTCGTCGCTCCTCTGTTGCTTTTACAACATCAAAAACCACTGCTTTATATTGCTGGCCCGGCGCTCCCTTACTCCCCCCTTCTCTCTGTCTCAGAGCTTAGACAATCAATTTGCCCTGACTGGGCCAGGATGGATGGAGGCTGTAGAGACTGCGGAGTAGACAGTTTGCTGCAGGATCTCTCCTCTGATAGACACTCTGCCTGGCAGCTACAAAATGGAGCCAGCATGCAACCATCTGACTCACCATCTTGCTTCAGACATTATTAGTGATTACCTTATGCCTCATGTCTTTTCATTTGATTCATTTGCTTTGTTCAAAGGATGGTCATAAATGTAGGGTGTGGCGATGGAGAAAATCCAATATCACAATAACTCTATTTGACGATATGGTTTGGTTGAGGCATTTTCCTTCGAGGTATTTAAGCAGAATATGTACAAATTTAAACAACCGGGAAAAAAAATAAGTTTGCAATATTGTTGTTTGTTTGTTGAATTTTGATAAATATTCCTCCATAGTGTGGTGTTAATAAAACGGCTGGTATGATCGTTGCTGTACTGTAATAGATGACGTTAAAGACCACAGTTATGCCAGATAATCATACATCTTAGACAATATCCAGTCTCATGTCGAGATATCCATTACATATTGATATATAGCCCAGACTTAAATACACATTTTAGACTGAAAACATCACCGTAAGCTAATTTAGTGTCAAATGTAGATACTTCAAGACACTACAATGTGTGCCATGTGTCCGCTTCGTGCTACCATAAAGCGACCACACCAGATGCGGCTGAACTCAGACTGAAGCTCCTCTCTGTCCTCCAAAGTGAAAGTGAATTGGAGTTAGTGAAACTGAATTGGAGTTCCTATCAAACTGACTTAGACACAAAGAGATTAATACGACTTTACTATCTCAGCTCCTCGGCCGGTCTACTTCCCTGTAATGCTCTCTGCGCTATCGATTTATTTTTCTTTCCCTTTCTTCCTGGCTGTCTTTCTCTCTCTCCTCTCTCGCCATCTCTCCGCCTCCA